CCACTGCTTTGATTTTTAAATGAATGATTTTCTCTCCTTCCCTCTCTCTCTCTTGCCTTCTAAATTGAAAGATAGACAAGCTAGGAAATACTTAAGGAAGGAATTATTTATTCCCATTATCTTAGCTGCCATTGTTTTAACTTTTAATGTACCATTTAACAAAGTCTATCATTGACCAGTAATAAACACTAGCTTATTTTATTGTTTTCTATTGGAATTAAACTTTAGCCTTTTTGTCTCAAAAGTGAGAACAAATGTAAAAATAACATTTTCCTGAGATGTTTTTCATTTGTACTTGTATTTCATAGAACCTCCAGATATAAAGTAGAAAACAATGGCCCAACTGATATTGACAAGTAATTGAGTAGTTGTTTCATGCTTTGCTGACATCTTTCCTTCTGATCTGTTTCATTAACTAGAAAATTCTCTTTAGGAAGTAAATGAGCATTCCTATTTCTACTCAATGTCAATGAAAGTGAAATTTGATTAACCAGCTTTAAAATTTTGGCATGAATACTTTTTCAGCGCCCATAACTACCTTATGTTAATAAAAGCTAATCATTTACTCCAAAAATACTAGCAATTTCCTTTGTAGAGAAGTCATGGAGCACAAATTTTATTTACACTTGCATCATCTATTGCATTTCCAAATCATCTACTATCACAGGCCTTGTATAAAGAATGGTAAAAGCTATGGTTACTATTGATTTTAAGAATATGTTTTGTTGGTTCAGCGCCTACAGCTCAGTAGTTAGAGTACCGGCTACATGCCCCCGGACTGGTGGGTTCAAACCCAGCCCAGGCCTGCTAAATAACAATGACAACTATAACAACAACAACAAAAATAGCCGGGTGTTGTGTGTGCCTGTAGTCCCAGCTACTTGGGAGGCTGAGGCAAGAGAATTGCTTAAGACTAAGAGTTTGAGGTTGCTGTTAGCTGTGATGCCATGGCACTCTACCCAGAGCAATATAATGAGACTCTGTCTCAAAAAAAAAAAAAAAAAATTGAAAAATTTTTTAACTTTTTGAACTTTAAAATACTATTCCTTTTGGGAGAAATTATAGGTTTGTCCAAGGAGAATGTGGGCATATTTTTTCCTATAATGTAATAATACTTAGTGCTTTATTTGAATTATAATTATTTACTTCATATCACAGATAAAAGTCTGGAATAAGGTCAACTATACTATTACTCCTTGACTTGTATAGTTAATTAAGTTGTTAAGGGTTTTCCTGTATTCTGACAGTGAAAATATTGAAGATTGAGCATATATAAATTAGGAGGTGGAGGACTGAAAGTTTCCTGGGGCAGGGTTTGATGAATCTCCACATTTATTTGAACTGCTTTACTTAAATTTAGATAGTTAGTTATAATGTTCTTCAGAAATGTAATTAATTCTGCACTATTAATTAACCACCTCTTCCCACACCTCTTTCTCTCTCTTTCTCTTGGCTTCCAGAGACTTAGAACCAGTCGAGTCTAAATTCATAATGAGAGGCCTGACCCAGTGGGTCATGCCAGTAACCCTAGCACTTTGGGAAGCTGGGTGGGTGAATTACCTGCGCTCAGGAGTTCAAAATCAGCGTGAGCAATTTCAAAAAAATAGCCGGGTGTTATGGTTGATGCCTGTAATCCCAGCTACTTGGGAGGCTGAGGCAAGAGGATCACTTGAGCCCAAGAGTTGGAGGTTACTGTGAGCTATGCCACAGTACTCTACTGAGGGAAAAGAAGTGAGACATTGTCTCAAAAAAAAAAAACAAAACATAATGAGTTAATGTATTTATTCAGGTGTTTTTGTTAAGTATTAATAGTGGATAGAATTTTATCATTGTTGCATATGATTCACGTTTTCATTTGCCCTTTTAATCCCATCTTTAAAGGAGGATATATTACTTTTGTTCTCTTTTTAAATAATATAATAGGGAAATCTTGCTTTAAAAAAAGTACAGCAGATTCCAGGAGACTGCACAAAATCTTTTAGTTCCTTGAAGCCAGAATTCCTTATAAATATTTCATAGTCACATGTTACTTTGAGGGTAACATTCCATTTGAAAGAAAGAAAATAAGACATATACAAATTTTAATACTCCAATTTGGAAATCAGTGTGTCAACTTCACTGTTATTTGCTCCATTATTTTTTCCACATGCCATGAAAACTAATTGGCATTTTGAAAAGTGCTGTCTTTTTTGTTTTTGAAGTCTTCACTCTAAAAGTGGATACTGTCCTCTATATTTAAAAAATTGGATTTTTTGGCTCAATGCCTATAGCTCAGTGAGTAGGACACCGGCCACATACACTGAGGCCAGTGGGTTCAAGCCTGCTAAACAACAGTGACAATTGCAACCAAAAACTAGCTGGGTGTTGTGGCAGGTACCTGTAGTCCCAGCTACTTAGGAGGCTGAGGCAAGAGAATCACTTAAGCCCAAGGGTTGGA